ATAGAGTTACTGCTTCAGATTGCAGTTCTGACTCCGCGAGTTTACAAAGTATTTCTAGTCAGAGTGAAGGTATAAAATCTTTAGGTATTTGTGAGGAGGAACCAAAATTGTCTACTGCTGTTATTAAAGAGTTTGAAATTGATGAAGTCGACCAGATAGGTGATGGTAAATTGAATATTTGTGATAATGATCATGATAGTCCACATTTGTCTTTGGTTGATCATGATGAAATGAGGGGAATGCCTACTACCGCTAAGTTAAATAAGGTTTCTGTACAACCACAACGTGAAGTAGAATTAAATGCAGATGCAGTTGGAGAAGGCATACATACTTGTGAGACCGTCAGTGTGATTGATCAGCATGTAGCCCACCTATCATCAGATGCTAGTGCTAAACCTGAGCTGATAGTAAAAGACAGCAGTGGTGGTGGTCTTGCAGGTAGACAAATTTCTGAAAGTCGAGCAACAACAGCTTTTGATCCACCGCTAACTTCATCAACTGATATCAATCAGTCGTCGTTGATGTTGTCATCCACAATGAAACAGACGCCCATCAACTCAAGTATCTTGTGCAATGACTATGATAGTATCAGTTCGTTTGAAAGGACGAATATCAATGGTCAGTTTAGCGAGGATAAGCCAAGTGTAAACAAGAGAGTAATTGTTAAATTGACTTGCACGAATAAAGGCATTTCTAGTTTCAAGTTACTATTTGAATGTTATTATCTTTGGTGTAAATTACTCTGTGTCTACGACTGGTTGACCAGATACGTCGTGTGTATTTTGGTCATCTATATTCTACGATACAATGACATGAGCGTGTTACCGTTCAGATTTGAGGATATAGCTGATAGAAGGAAATCAGCAAATGAACTCTGCGACGATTTTCCAACCTAGAGCGTCAACCTGAGAAGGGTTGTAGGCGTACTGCTGTAAGTCCTACAATTCTTCAAAGGGTAGCGCATCAATGAGCAGTCCAATGTGCTCGGTGTGTGATTTTGTACATATGTTCATATTGCATATTCTGAATTGATATCATCTGTCATCTAGCTGTTGGTAATTCTGTTTGTGTCCGGACGACTTCCACTTGGATCATCAACCTGAGAAGGAATGTAGGCGTACTGCTGTAAGTCCTACAGTTCTTCAAGGGTAGTTTGTCGTGTCAGAATCCACAACATTTGATGTAGTGATTGTACATATGTTTGTGTTAAATAGTTGTGTGAGTTCCAATTATTGTAATTGTTGAATAATCTTGTTTGTGTCCGGACATTCCACAACTTACAATGGTCAACCTGTGAAGGTTTGTAGGCGTACTGGTGTTAGCCCTGCGATTCTTCAAAGGAATTCCATCAGGAGATGAACTGCGAGTTTGTGTGTACTGTTTGTATATATGTGTGGTGTGTCATATCAGTTGGTGTTTATTGGATTAATTGTGTTTACTTGTTGTTTTCGTACCTTGTTGTTATTGCATAATTTTGTTAAAATTTTCGTCGTGATTACTTCTGAAGTTGTGTTCACTCTTCTACATCCATGAATGAATTGATTGATGTTAAGGACAGCAGATGGGTCGTATACGCCGGAGAGGCTAGTCTATTGCTGAGAATAAAATGCACACGGAGATAATTGTGAGCTGCGGTCCGACACGCCGGGGAGAAAGAGTGTAAACGACTGAGGCTTGCATGCGTCACCGCTACTAGAACTGAGGCAGAATGAGTGACAAGCGATTGCAGTGGTAATTCGTGGTGAATAGATAAGAGGACGTGCGTAGTGTATCGTGAGGTGGTGCTATGGTCACGTTGCATTCTGCAAGAGTCATTCTAGCAAGTGGCGATTGTGTTGCAAGACTAGGTGTCAAGAGGGAGCCTTTAACTTGAAGGCGCGTGTGGTCAGCGATGTGTGAGATTGTGCTGTTGGTATGCTTGTGGTGTGTTGGCTTTTCTGTTTGTTTTCCATTTCAGCTCTGTCCGTGTGACCCAGGTTCTCGCAATGGCATCCAAGTCAACGTGCATTGGTCGTGAAGGAAAAAAGGGTTGGATCCCTTTTTTGCCGGGGAGTGTCAATGGAGTTGAAGATTGAACGATCAATTCTTGGTTGTTTGCTCAAACCCAACTTCCTTATATTTTCGCGGAGACATCGATACACCAATCATCGTCTCATCGGTCGCTGTTGAGAAAGAAGTCAGACCAAAACTGTCAGAAACCTTAGTTAAAGCTTAATTTTAAAGTTGGATATATTGGTGTTACGATAAAGAATTCTGGAGTAGCCAATCGGTGTTTTGGTTTTTGCGTCCGTTATTACTAAGCGTTTCTGAGAAACTTCAAGGAACAGCGTGAGTCCCAGCGTAGCAAGAGCTGGGCATTGACGGTTTACGAGACGTGGCTGACACATATATTTAACTGTTGAATCATAATTAACTTGTAGGTAATCTACGATTTAATATTATACCATACTTGATCGTTCCTGTAATATGGTGTGCACTTTCATGTAAGTTTATATGATTATATGAGGATACACATTATTATTTTTATCCGCTTTTCAAGTCTTATGCAACACACTGAATGGTTGTTAACACTGCCTTTGCAACGGGCTGTCGTAGTTTATGAATTTGGATCTAGTTCATTGGGCATTAATAAACATAAGTAACATATACCATTTAGGGGTTTCTGATCGCTTTCAAGTTTCTTTCAGTTTCAAAACTTCATACAGGCACAACAGATTCACACTTCTTATGTGGCTCAACCTTGTTTGATTTAGATTCTCTGACAATATATCTGATTCTTTAGCTGATAATATACACTGATGTTATACTCAGCTTCTCGAAAAGCTTCAAAGCTTCTTCAACTTCAATTCATGTTCTGAAATTTCCAGGTTTAATATGCTCTCCGAAAACCTTGCCAATATCAACGTTGGTCGTATTCTCCTCACCGGATTGACTCGTGATTGCTGCATGCTGTAAATATGAATATGAAAGACATCGTTTTTTTCCAGATTTCTACATACTAAGTAACCAATTGAGCCAGAAGCAATAATGGGAACCAGCAACTAAAAGCAACAGCTTCTGTCAGCGGAACATGTTCACGTGCATATTTTACAGAACTTCTACACAGCACTATTTCACCAATAGATGAAAAACAAACAAAACACTGAAACCACGCATGAATGCAAGGTACGAAAGAATTATAATGAAATGGATGCATTGACATGGTGGTAAATTCCATCAAAATCAACGAAATGACTAATTTTAACAGCAACGGAAACAAAAATGGTTCGAAACGCAACATCTGTGAACAGTATGCATCGAGATAAGTTGTGAATAACTGCAGGATAAAAGTAAAAACCAATGTGTAAACGAACGGCTACGGAACTGCAATCCAACATGGACGAAGACGACTTTTGAGCGTCTTACTCCATCAATGACCTTCAGCATGCGGGATAATTTCAGCCGAATTCAATTCTTAAAGGTGTGAAGAGTTTTGAGGTTTATTCTGAGATGTCCTTTATACATGGCAGGACCATTTGGTAGATTGACTCGGACAACGACTACTTCTAAATTTCCGTGAATATCCATTCTTTCGCATGATGCCTTTGTGCTATATTTCTCCAATTTTTCTGAAGATGGGTGTGCTGCAATGAGTCCCAGCCCTCTTAAATAGTTTTTTATAAAACTGCATCGAAATAATCTACCTAAGGCACAAATCTTCTCCATCATATTACAGTTCTTACATCTGCTTATTCTGACACGCGCGAAATTACAACTCTTATGAATCATTTGAGTGTCTCACTGATTAACCTAAGGCTTTTCTATAGCTAGTCTTTGTTAGCGTGGTAACTAAACTAAGATCAGAGCCACAGTGTGGAAAGCATCAAAAAGGACTTCCCATGTATCTGACAGTCCGTCTGACTGCTATGAATTCGCCTTATCAATAATTAGTTCCCAAATGAACTTCATGCGTCTTCCAGGGATAAAGTTCTCGCTCGTCGTGAGTTGCAACGACATAATCCAAATCTTTTGAACTGGACGCACTAAACCGATCGGTGAATTTTCGAGAGAATTTCATCTGCATATTCGCGCGACGAAAATATGTTCCGACGATTCTAAAAACAATTTAACGTGATAGAATCCATGATACCAGTAATCAATAATAAGTCACAATAAATCAGAACTAGCTCCATAATGCGCCTAGCCGTACATACATTCCGAAGTTTTCCGTGTATCCAGTTGTCCTGAACAAGTATTACACAGAAAAAATAGCAAAATAGACACGACTGTGAGGTACTTGAGAATCAATCAGAGTAGTAACAACGAAATAGGATTAAAATTCTTTTTTTAGGTACAAAATACGACAAAAAACGTTTCTAGCAGACACACAGAGGGCAAACGGCCATTGCACAGTACCATCTTGAGAACAGTGGGGCAGAATATCGCTATATGTAGAAAACAAATCCCTCTCCAGCATCACACAAGGACAAAGTGAAGCATTAGGCATGGGAATTGATCAGAAATAAGGAACGGATCGAAAAGAAGATATACGGCGACCGAAATACTGCTTATCGTTTCACACAATTGTGAAAAAGTTGCACCTAGGTCACTTCTCTTCTCGAGTCACACGCAGAATCATTTAGCGAAATCTCTTGAGGCATTTGGAATTTAGTTGTGATCTCTTTAAGTTCACCATAGTCCAGAGGATGAAGGCGATGTGGTAATTCAATCTGAATGCATAAAAATTGGATCAACCCCCAAACATCTAGAAGCGTTCCAAAACACTGCAAAAAGAATTTAGAATGTTGATGAGATTTCGCTCCAAAGATATGGCATGTTTAGTCGGCAGTAAAATCTGATTTGGTCCCTTTTAAGTTTATCTTAGATCTCCTACCTGTCAACATTGTAAGAGACGTCGTACATGAGCCTTGTCTTAAGCTTCAAGTCCTGTTGTTTGTTTTACTGTACCTCGATATCATAGTTGGCGCTTCCATACAAGTGTCACGAGTTTTGCTCTAATAATGATGTCTCTGTCAATCTTGCTGAAGAAGGGAATTGTCAGGGTACTGAAATTACTTCTTATTCTCACTTTTTAGTTCCCTCACCTCAAACCCTTGTCGTGCTTCAACTCTTCTGGACCTAAGGGACATGTCGTCGGCATCGATCTTGGCACGACAAATTCATGCGTCGCAGTGATGGAGGGGAAACAGCCCAAAGTGTTAGAGAACTCTGAAGGAAGTCGGACAACTCCATCTGTAGTGGCTTTCACAGGCGACGGCGAAAGACTTGTCGGGGCTCCTGCCAAAAGACAAGCAGTAACCAATTCGGCCAACACATTCTCAGCAACGAAACGCTTGATAGGTCGGCGATTTGAGGACCCGGAGGTTCAGAAGGACATGAAGAACTCTTCATTTAAAATAATCAAGGCTTCTAACGGTGATGCATGGTTAGAAGCTCATGGCAAGGCGTATTCTCCTAGTCAGATAGGAGCGTTTGTATTAATGAAGATGAAGGAGACTGCAGGTCCGTTCAGTTGAACATAATTAATAAGTATCTAGAGAACTACTTAGGTTCGAAGGTGAGAAATGTGGTTATAACGGTCCCTGCCTACTTCAACGATTCACAGAGACAGGTATGAATGATTTCTTTATAACATTGCTTGCAGGCCACTAAAGACGCCGGCAAAATTGCAGGGATGGAAGTACTACGTGTTATCAACGAGCCCACAGCTGCAGCCCTTGCATATGGCTTGGATCGCACGGACGACAAAACGTAACTTGTTTATATGCTTCTTAGTTTTCTGATTAGGATAGCCGTTTATGATCTTGGAGGTGGTACATTTGATATCTCTGTATTGGAAATTCAGAAAGGGGTTTTTGAAGTGAAGTCTACTAACGGAGACACCTTTCTAGGGGGAGAAGATTTTGATAACGAACTCTTACGATTCCTAGTTAAAGAGTTTCAACGAGAGGTAATCATTTGATATTCGATTTAATTTCTGTAGCAAGGTATTGATGTCACGAAAGACCCAATGGCTCTTCAGAGAGTCAAAGAAGCTGCGGAAAAAGCCAAAATAGAGCTTTCATCGTCACTGCAAACTGATATTAATTTGCCTTATTTGACAATGGATCAATCGGGTCCAAAGCACATGCACCTAAAGTTAACGCGAGCGAAATTAGAGCACTTGGTAGAACCTCTCATCAAGAGAACGATTGAGCCTTGCAATAAGGCTTTGAAAGATGCTGATGTTAAAGCTTCTGAAATTGGTGACATAATTCTAGTCGGTGGAATGACAAGAATGCCCAAGGTAATATGAACAGAATAGTGGTTTATCTTTGTTTAGGTCCAGGAAACAGTTGAGAAAATATTCGGGAAATTGCCGAGTAAAAGTGTGAATCCGGATGAAGCCGTTGCAATGGGGGCGGCCATCCAAGGAGGAGTCTTGGCCGGGGATGTTACAGATGTTCTTCTACTTGATGTTACCCCTTTGTCACTTGGCATAGAAACACTAGGTGGCGTTATGACAAAGCTTATCAATCGAAACACGACTATCCCAACGAAGAAGTCACAAGTATTCTCTACGGCTGCTGACGGTCAGACACAAGTAGAAATCAAAGTATATCAAGGTGAACGTGAGATGGCCGGTGATAATAAGTTGCTGGGTCAATTTTCTTTAGTAAGTTATTTTTTATCTTATGACCAACTTCTTTTTCGTTCTTGTCACAATCTCAATTTTCTAATAAATTTATCTTTCCAAACAGGTTGGTATTCCTCCTGCGCCTCGTGGTGTTCCTCAGATTGAAGTCACGTTTGACATTGATGCTAATGGGATTGTCAATGTAACTGCTCGTGACAAGGGAACCGGCAAAGAACAACAAATTGTCATTCGTTCAGGTGGTGGGTTAAGCAAAGATGAAATAGAGAATATGGTACGTAATGCAGAACAGTACGCTGAGGTGGATAAAAAACGGAGGGATCTTGTAGAAGCGGTAAATCAAGCTGAGGGCATAGTGCATGATACAGAATCAAAAATTAGTGAATATAAGGATCAGTTACCTGCAGAAGAGGTAAGTGGGTTTAGTTGTATGAAATAAGCTGTATTAGTACGTAAACATTTTTTCATATATTACATACCCCTGTATTCGAAAGTCAAGTAGCAGGATGGGTGTCTCTGGTACTCTACAAAGGTCGGCATTGTGTCGCCAAAGTTACACCACCCAGGTCTGTAGCTGTAGAGTACTATGTCAATGAACGCGTGCTAACTTACTCTGATGGTGGGACGTTCACGGTCACCGTCATTTTGATTTTTGCTTGGGGAGCACAGTGATTGGAGTCCAACGCCTGATGTGTTTAAAACTTGTCTTTCTAAAGTAACCTAGAAATAGGAAGTAAGGTGGCTGAATGTACTAGAAAGGTACTTGAAATCTGATTGTGAAGAGGCATAGCAATGGTAAGTTTGTATCTTCTTTGCGATTGTGCTGCTGCATAGTGTTTTCTGTGTCGATCTACGTGATGTGAGATCAAAGTAGTCAATGCCGAGGAAATATTTGGAAGTTAGATAAAACACAACTTCTGTTCCAAGTATGTATATGTATTGTCCTCTTTTAAATGTGTTTAAATGTTAGATATAATGTAAATGTACACTAGTGCTCAGTTTTGGGTCCCGGTCAATAAGGTTTTTCTATGGTTCATACTCGTATTTCACCGGAACACTGCCAATTCTACCTACATAATGATGGCATCTTAAACTAGTAAGCTTCTGTATGTTGAAACAATCAGGCAATGAGAATTCCAATAGTTTTCTGACAAATTTCTTGTCCTCGATCATTTAATGGCACCAATTTGTGACTCAACACGTACTCATTGGGTTATTTAGCTCTATGCCAATTCTCTCGTTCATCGGTTGGTTTAACGTATCTCCCTGAAACTTCTCGTCTCGATTCAGTCTTTCACAGTAGTAATTTGGTGGTGATACACCCAAATGCTCTCAAATATCGTACTCATGTGGGACAAGAGGAAAGCGTCTGGTTATGTTGCATGTAGCGTTTGTGACACCCGAATTTCTACTGGGGTAGACGTTGATTTTCAGTTGCTCTATTATGAGACAGTTAATGCACAGCAATCCTGACGGACTAAACAGTTTTTCAAACGAGTGTTCACAATATTAGGAAAACGTATTCCACACCTGGATGTATTCACTTTCATTCCAGTTAATTCAGTAGGTAAAATGAGCTACAAAAAATTGCTTAACCATGTTAACTAATCAAAAAATCGGTCATGCAGGTGGTGTATACATTGGAATTTAAACAAAACTCTGCTCATTTTCTGACAATGATTTCAAAAGGCAAGGGAAGAAAAGGATGGCTAATTCAACTGTAGACTGTCTCCAATAATACTTGGTTTCGTAGGTGAAATAGGTTGAATATAGCATATATTTAAGGTACTTGCTAAATATCAGTTTTTATTAAGTCTTATAAATCTGTAGGACATGAAGAAGAACAAGTGATATTCTTAATCGGCGTTTGTGTATACCCAGAGTAAGTGAACAAATATTAGAGCGATGTACATCAGACCAACTTTTAGGCAACTGTTAATAATGGGCAGTTCTTGGTGTGTAGACAAGGAAAGTGTATCATGGTAGGTCACTAGAACGTATAATGTCTCGTGGTCAAATAGTGGCACGAAAGTCCTGTCTGTAACGATGTTTTTTTTATTCGTTAAAGAATAGCTCCGTAGTCGGCAAGGTTGGTGACTTTCAGGGCCTCGTAAGCTGCTACCTTGACGTGGTGGTCGGGCTTAAACACCGCAATGATCCATTCAAGCCATACTGGCTGAGACTTATGTCTCTTGAGGTCCTAACATGCCAGAAAGGTTGTTTGGATAGCGGTTAAACAAAAAGCAGCTACCCAATCCAACATCATGATAAATACAAAATCACAAAATTTCATGCCGGATCGGCCGTGGCCCGGATTAACAACGACCGCGCTTCCTGCTGCCGTGTCACAGGGCAGGAGTGATAAATATGCTACTGAGGCACACAAAACAACAAAGAACAAACAAAAGTAGGCCGCGTGTGACCGGCCCCAAGCAATTGTCCCCTGGGCTCTGCGGTCACGCAACCAACTTCCACGATGTGGGCAGCCGGGAAGTAACAATCGCCCTCATAATCCGAAACGCACACGAAACCTCTCTATCACTCACTCATCTTTGTCTTCATCTTCATCTCTATTACCTTGCCTTCCTCTCACTGATGCAACTCCTCTACTTGATGGCTCCTCACTCCCTCTTCACTGTGTTCACTAAAAACGACGGAAGCCAAAAAACCACCACAGACAGCCTCCTAAAGCCACGCCACCAATTTCATGTAGGAGCTTTTAATGTTAGGACACTGCTAAATAGGACAACAAGCATCACTAGCCCTGGCATCACGAGCCATTGATGTATGCTGTGTTTCAGAAACACGCATACAAGACCCAAGTGTGACTATTCACCTAACTCCACCTGGCCAACAGGTTGAATTTGCAAAATTCACCTTGAGGGTGTCAGGAGATGCCACAGCTAGCTCACGAGGATTAGCTGGTGTAGGGATAGCTCTGAGCACTTGGGCAGAAAAGACATTGCTTGACTGGATCTCAGTAGATAGCCGAATGTGTGCTGTCCGTCTGAACGGATCAGTAAGAAGGAGAAAGGACTGCACTACTCGCCGATGCCTTTTCGTAATCTCCGCCTACGCCCCACTGACTGCAGTTCGGATGAAACGAAGGATGAGTTCTACCAAAAGCTGTCTAGTTTGCTGCGAAAGGCTAAACGCTCAGATATAGTCGTTCTAGCTGGTGACTTTAACGCTCAAGTAGGGAAATTGTGTCAATCTGAGAAGGATGTCGGTGGCACCTATGGAGTCCCGTAACAGCGAACCGACAACGGTGACCGTCTCCTAAAGTTCTGTTTGGATAATCATTTGTTTTTGGAAAATACCCATATGGACATTAGAAAGAAGAGAACACGAAGTTCAGCAAAGATATCTTTTCGGCGATTTCATTCTCAAAAGCTGTACAATCGCATTTATATAGATTATTTTAACATGGATAGAATTATTATTTGTTTAATTTCACATAGTAACGAAGGTGATAATAATTTTCAACTTGATATGATAGTTTGAAGGTACGAATATAGATTACAAGAGGCTTAGAGACAAGATTTCATAGGATTAGAAAATAGTTACAACGTATGCAAAAAATTAATATTTGATAACTGGAGAAATAATTTTAAAGGCGAATCGAAGGTGATAATTATTTTCGACTTGACTATCATATCAAGTTGAAAATTATTATCACCTTCGTTACTATGTGAAATTAAACAAATAATAATTCTATCCATGTTAAAATAATCTATATAAATGCGATTGTACAGCTTTTGAGAATGAAATCGCCGAAAAGAAATCATTTGTTTCTTGTAAGCACTAACTTCAAACACAAGGAGAGACACTGTTTGACCTGGCGACCCCCATCATCAAACCAACGCTGGACACAAATAGACCACATAGCAATAAGCTATCGTTGGCGTGGGTCGGTAGGAGATTGTCGCTCCTTCTGGAACACGTGTGTAGATACCGATCACGCACTGGTCCGCGCTCGGGTGTGCTTACGACTGAACGGACGTAGGAAACAGCTGGCGGTAAAACCATCATGTCCCCAGCTCGATCAGGAAACTAAATCCGTATTTGAGGAAGAACTAGCTAAATACATATCTGTGTTCGACAGCTGTGCTCACCCTGAAGAAGCTTGGGGAATATCCAAGCAGCCATAGTTACAGCTGTAAAAGCTGTGAATAAGGTAAACCCAAAGGTGAGTAAAAACCACTGGATCTCATCCGAACTGATAGATGCTAGAAGACTTATTCCGGCGAGCTCCGAATTCAATGAGGAGCGGAAGCTGCACAAAAGGAAACTTACGAAAAGTCTCCGCAAGGACCGTGAACAGTGGTGGGTGACAAAAGCAAAAGAGATGGAGAAAGCTTCGAGGATAGGCAACACCAGACAACTATTTAGGCTCATCAGAGAAACAGGTGGGAAAAGGCAAATCATAAGTGAAACAATCTCTGAGAATAATGGCACCATAATTAGATCCCAGTTTAGACTGGATCGCTGGAAAGAGCACTATGAGGAACAGTTTAATTGGCCTACAGCCACGCTCAACTTGCCGAACATCCAACACCTCCCTGAATGGGATATAGACACAGGTCCTCCTTCCTTAACTGAGGTTACTAAAGCTGTCACCAATCTGAAACTAGGCAAAGCAGCGGGACCTGATGGAATGACTCCAGAGGTATTTAAGTACGGTGGAGACAGTTTACTGTCTGCATTAACTGAGGTACTAGGCAGCGTCTGGGAATCAGAAGAAGTCCCATCGGGTTGGTGTAAGTCACTGATTATCCCGATATACAAGAAGGGAGACAAGTCTTCCTGTGATAATCACAGAGGGATTAGCTTGACTAATATAGTATCTAAAGTCTTAGGCTCAATAATCATGCGTAGACTGAGTGGTGCTCTGGAGGCACAAACACGAGAGAGCCATGCAGGCTTTAGACCAGGAAGAGGGTGTATTGATCATATCTTCACCCTCCGACAGATTCTAGAACATAGGCATTCCTACCGGCGTCCAACAGTCATTATATTTCTTGACCTAAAGGCAGCATTCGACTCTGTCGATCGAGAAGTTCTCTGGAGATGCTTGGCTGTAAAGGGAATCCCGAGAAAATATATTACACTGATTAAGGCACTCTACTCGTACTCATACAGCCAGGTGAGGGCTTACGGCGAGCTGTCATCTGAACTGGTGACGACTAGGGATGTCCGTCAAGGATGCCCATTATCTTTTCTATTCAACTTCATCATAGATGTACTAATGGACTTAACCCTGAGTGACTTCAGCGACTCAGGGATTGACTTGCTACCAGGGAATAATCTCGTTGACTTGGAACATGCAGATCATATAGTCCTTCTAGGCGAAGACGCTGACGAAAGGCAGTGTCTTCTAAACACTTTGAGCAGTAATCTACGAATGTTTGGCATGCGATTCGCTCCCGCCAAATGCAAGATGATGTTACAGGACTGGACTTTATCGACGCCTAGTTTAAAAATAGGAAGTGAAGTGGTAGAGCACGTTGACCGCTTCACTTATTTGGGAAGTACCATCAGCCCCAATGGGTTGATCTCTGACAAAATCTCAGCACGAATACAGAGGGCTAGTTTCGCATTTGCCAGTTTACGCCGTCTCTGGCGTAGACGTGATATCCGACTATCGACCAAAGGGCGGGTGTACTGCTCATCAGTCCGCTCCGTCCTCCTTTATGGCTGTGAGACCTGACCACTGAGAGTGGAAGACATGAAAAGATTAGCTGTCTTTGATCATAGGTGCCTGCGTTCTATCATCCGTGTGAAGTGGCAAAATAAGGTGAGCAACATTGAAGTTAGGCGTCGAGTGCTAGGTAAGGAGGGGAAATCAATCGACGAAGTTGTGAAGTTACATAGACTGAGATGGTTAGGACATGTGTTACGTATGCCTAGTCATCGCCTTCCTCGACGGGCAATGTTAGCTGATATAGGGTCAGGCTGGAAAAAAGCTAGCGGAGGTCAAACAAAAACTTGGCACCAGTCAATGAAATCCACAACAGTTGGTCTAAGCCACGTAGGAAGGTGTAGACTTCCAGGCTGGGGTCCTCGGGACGGTAGAAATCAATGGTTGGAAACAATTGGTGACATGGCTCAAAATCGTTCTCAGTGGCGCAGATGTATCCACTCCTTGTGATTTATGATTTCCAATGAAACTGTTTTGTTCTTCGTTATTACTCCTTTGTCTCACACCTCTGCTCACTGTCTCTATTATGCTTTTCTTGTACTTTCTTCTCTTGGTTTGTGTGCTACATGGAGTGTGGCGACTTGAACTGCCGCACATTTGTGCAAAGTTCTATGTCGAAAACAGACAGACAGACAGACTTGGACTCACCTGTTTCGTGAATATGAAGATTAACCTTATTATTTTATGTGTCGTATCTGCTTATATTGTTTTTCCTTTTGTCTTCAGAGGGAAAAACTCAGTGCTCTGATGGACAAGCTGAAAAACCGTTTGGCTGACAAGGAGAATGAGACTGCTGAAAGTATTCGTGAAGCTACAAATGAACTTCAGCAAGCATCCTTGAAATTATTTGAAGTTGCTTATAGAAAGGTTAGTTTCCAATAATTTCGTACCTAATTGGCTGAATATAGATGGCAGGTGAACAAGGCTCAAAATCGGATTCCCAAAGCGATGAATCTGCTAAACAGGAAAAGCAGTAGTTGAAAGCGACGATCCCTCGTGAACAAATTCCTACTTGCACCAAGAAGTCCAAAATCTTATCGGTTTTGTTCTAGTGACAGTCTCTAATACATTACTGTGTTTAGTTCTTAAACTTGCTTTAGCTCCAAATTATCCTTGCTTGTGAAAATTGTGTAAATACTCAACATTGTCATAATTAATACACTTTCTCATTGATTGAGGATAAAAATTCTGACTCTTTGCGTCTTTTTAGTGTAATAAGCAACTCTCAAACAGAGTGTTCACGTGAAAATGTATCAAAATGATGTAACAATACTAGTCTTGACCAGACATTGAGTTCCTCTCCCTCACTTTTAAAATAATAGTCTACCGTGGTTTGTCTATATATTGTGCAAATCGAACTCCACAGTTCTGAAGGTACTTAACTTTGTGAATGATATTACCGTGAATACCACATTCTGTGTACAAGATATTAGTAAATTGTACTAGCGTCCGTGAATATATTCTTTCTGTTTCATTATGGGAAAGATTTAAGTTGCTGCTATGGCGCAGTATTGACCGTCTCAGTCCAAACCAACGGAGACTGTGTTCTGCAACCAAAACGTCGAATTTTTCTATTATTATTATTTTCGATAGAGTAAGAAAGACCAGATTTGCAGTATAAAATGATATCATTCTATTTCACAGGTTCTCATTTTATACTGCAAATCTGGTCTTTCTTTCTCTATGGAAATTTATCAGGGGAGCCAAATGTATGAGATTATTATTGAATAACTCGCAAAAGTGACGAAATCCTTAGTCAATAAGTTGATGGATGCCGACGCAAATTGACAACTAATCGCAAGCAGCGTCATCAGGAGAGAGTTCTATCATTCATTGAGGACTCAGATATATTCACTATATATTGTTGTACTCTAAAGTTGTCGTCTGGAGAGACGATGGCAGTTTCTCAGTTAGACCACTCTTCTCGGAAAACGCAACCGTACTGGAATCGTCCACTCGAGCTATAAATCTTCTGCGTTATTTCTTTAGTATTGCTTTATCATAGTGCATCTGAGGTTTGTAGGCTAACCTCAAAACAACGCACTGAATACGGAGATATTGAGTAGACAAACGTATTTGACCGTATGAGTAATGTAGTGGTTATCAATGATATTCGAGTGTGAAACGTTAAAATAAATGCCTGTACACCTTTCCATCTAGGTTGGCAACTAACACTGTCATATATTTAATTGGTGGATGGTGACTAGCAGTGGAATCCAGGATACGCATTTCGTCCTATTTGGGACTCCTCATCTGGACGTACCTGCGTTCCCCAGTGAGTGATGATGTTCCCACCGAGGCTCGAACCCAGTGCCCATAGTTTCAAACTCCGAAGCGTTATCCGCTAGACCACTTGAGGCACGAGAGCCGCCTCTTGTGCAACGGGTCATTTTAATTTTAGATTTTCCCGCCGATTGATTGGATCGAAGCGCTCGGTCTCAGGATGACATGTCGGCTTCTTGTGCAGATGCTTCGACCATGTCAATCGACGGGAAAATCCAAAATTCAATTAAATTAATATGACCCGTTGCAGAAGAGGTGGCTCTCGTGGCCCAATCGGTCTAGCGGATAACGCTTCGGCGTTTGAAACTATGGGCACTGGGTTCGAGCCTCGGTGGGAACATCATCACTCGCTGAGAAATGCAGGTACATCCAGTGATGAGTCCCAAATAGGACGAAATGCGTATCCTGGATTCCACTGCTAGCCACCATCCAACAATTAAATACTAATTATGTGCCCAGACATCGTCGAAGCATCTGCACAAAAGCCGACATGTCAACCTGAAACGGAGCACTTCGGTCCAATCAATCGAAGGAAAAATCTAAGATTCAATTAAACTGTCATATACTGGTAGAATCTTTTTTCTAGATCTTGAGTTATATAAGGCAAAGCATTTCAATTTCCAAAACCGGTGCTTGGACTAACTAAAACTATTGGCTTCTGTGAAATATGCACGGGAACTATCTGTGCTGCATGTCATCGTCTGTAACACTGCAGGTGTCACGCAAATTACTTGGTGGTCTTGTTATTTTGATTTCAAAATAAGTAAGGGCTGATAGTGAACTAAGTTTCACTTAACTTTAACTTAACTTCCGGCGTCGGTGTAGTTTGTTTTAGCAGATTTAAATTTGTGAATTGCGAACTTCTACTCGACGACTTCCAGGCACGTACTCACCACGCATTCTTTCGACTACATTCCATCATCTTACAGTAAATGTGGCATAAGTGAATTACATTGTGGTACTTCATTGCTTGTTACTGTTAGTGAGTCCGACTATCACTGACACTATGTGTTCACTCTGACTATTTGAATGGATCATTCGCCAGTGAAAAAAATCAAACGGCCTATATTTTAAGGCTTCAACCACTTTGCAGTGTGGTATGACACTAACCTATATTAGTGAATGATTTTTTTTCACACCTGGCTTTGTAACCTAATACTGCAAGCTGACAGGAGTTAAGAAACATGGGTTAAGAAAGTGGTATTAGTATTTAAGAATCTTCCCGAACTTTTTGCATACAGTAAATCCGTCGAAATTACTCAGAATAGTTTTTATATGTAATTAGTAGTATTTGACGACGATTTATAGTTCTGTCTGTCTGGATTCAACATAGAACTTGGCACCGAAGTGCAGCAGTTCGAGTTGCCACCTTCCAAATAGCACACAGAGGTAGACAAGAAGATGAGTGAAGAGAATCAATAGTCTGACAAGTATAAGAGTGAAACAGAATGGGTAATGGTAGAAAGGAATATGAAAGATTACAGAGACTGAATACATCTGCGCTGGCATTGACAACGATTTTGAGCCATGTCACCTATTGTCTCCAGCCATTGATTCCTAGAGTCCCGAGGGCCCCAACCCGGAAGTCTGCATCTCCCTACCTGACTCAGTTTAACTGTCAAGGATTTCATGGATTGATGCCATGTTTTTGTTTGGCCACCACTGGCTCTTTTCCAACCTGAACCTATATCAGCTATCAATGCCCGTCGGGGGAGGCGGTGGTTAGGCATGCGCAGCACGTGACCTAGCCATCTTAGTCTATGTAACTTTATAACCTCGTCGATTGATTTTCCCTCTTTGCCCAACACTCTACGCCTAACGTCAACATTACTTACCTTGTGAAACCACCTAACGTGAGACAGAGATCGCAGACATCTATGATCGAAAGCAGTCAACCTTTTCATGTCTTCAACGCGTATTGGCCATGTTTCAGAGCCATAGAGAAGGACGGAGCGAACTGCTGAGCAGTACACACGTCCCTTGGTTGATAACCGGATGTCACGCCTACGCCAGAGATGGTGTAAGTCAGCGAAAGCAGCTCGAGCTTTTCGGATCCGTGCTGAGATTTCATCGCCAATCAGTCCGTTGGTGCTAATACAACTTCCCAAATAGGTGAAGTGGTCAACATGTTCTATCACTTCACTCCCTATCACTAAGTTAGGAGTTGACGTAGTCCAGTCCTGTAGCAGCATCTTACATTTTGTAGGGGCGAATCGCATGCCAAACATACGAAGATTGCTGCTCAAGGTGTTCAGAAGACTCTGCATTTTGTCAGCATCCTCCCCTAACAGGACTATGTCATCTGCATATTCTAAGTCCATAAGACTATTCCCTGGTAACAAGTCGATTCCTAAGTCATTACGTTCAGTTAAGGATACTTCCATCAGCATATCTATGATGAAGTTAAACAGAAATGGGGAAAGTGGACATCCCTGTCGGACACCACTGGTTGTTACCAATTCAGATGACAATTCCCCATAAGCCCTTACACGACTACGTGAGTTTGAATAGAGTGCCTTGATTAGTGCAATGTACTTTCTTGGCACTCCCTTCACAGTCAGACATTGCCATAGTACCTTTCGATCCACGGAGTCGAAGGCCGCCTTCAAGTCAAGAAATATGACAATTGTTGGACGCCGAAAAGTGTGTCTATGTTCTAGAATCTGTCGAAGAGTGAAGATATGATCTATGCACCCTCTACCTGGTCTAAAGCCTGCTTGATTTTCCCTTGTCTGTTCCTCCCGAGTTCTGCTTAGTCTATGCATGATTACTGAGCCTAGGATTTTAGAGACTATGTTCGTTAGGCTGATCCCCCTATGATTATCACACGAGGACTTGTTTCCCTTCTTGAATATCGGTATAATAAGTGACTTACCCCAGTCTGATGGCACTGTCTCTGATTCCCAGACTTTGCCTAGTACCTCAGTTAATCTACAAACTAGTATGTCACCCCCATATTTAAACACCTCCGGAATAATTCCGTCGGGTCCTGCCGCTTTGCCTCGTTTCAAATTACTGATAGCTTTTGTGACCTCACTTACAGACGGCGGACCAGTGTCTATATCCCATTCGAGTGTGTGCTGGATGTCGGGGAGGTTCAGTGTGGCTGTAGGCAAGTTAAATTGTCCCTCAAAGTGTTCTTTCCAGCGTTCAAGGCGTCTATCCTGAGAGCTAATTAAGGAGCCATTTTTCTCAGAAATAGTCTCACTGATTTATAGTTAACTGTTACTGGTCAGTGATACGTTTTCCCCTGGAAATTTCCTGGAGTTTCACATAATATTTTATTTGTAGCTGATTACTTAAATTTTTGGTTAGGATCGATTTTAAGGTAAGTTTCGTTATGAACTGACATCAGTTACAGCGACTATTGATCAACTGTTTCATCTTAATTTTTAACTCTTCTTTGCTCCATGGGGCAAAATAATATGCATAATACGGTTTAGCAGTAGATAAACCATCCTTTTGCTTGCTGTATGAAATACTAGTACTACAATCCGCTACAGCTATCATAACTCATTGGAATTACAGGTGTAGGGTGTTGCGCAGACTAATCACAAAACGTAAAAAAGTTGTCCTTTTTGGTATGTAGAATACTTCAGTAGAAGAGGCCTCGCTTCCTAAGTAATCCGTTTCCCGATGATAACACAAGACTGCTTATGTAGAATGATATCAACACTGGTGAATCTGACCAGCA